AGACTCCTCACACTAGCTGTTTCAAGTGAGACCCACAGTTCTGCTTTCCATCATTTTGAGACTAAACATGCCTGGGGAGGCATGCTGTGCTTCTGCAGGCTATGTTGGTGTAGTTGGAGAAATTATTCTCTTAAAATCTCAAATCTGCCACCCTCACCCCCGCCTGTCATAAGCCCTGGCTACATCCCTGGTCATCCAGTGAGCTTCCGAGTGTAAGATCCAGGATGGGAGAACTGGTCAATGCCAGTCATAGGAAACAGTATTGACAAGCTGTTACTTAGTTTCTGTCAGTGTGAACCAAGAGGTTAACCATGTAAAGAGAACGCCATGGCAGTCTGGGAACAAGAGGGTAAAATGCCATATGACACCCAAAAAGATGTCCACAAGACCCAGTCATTTGGCGTTTGTAGGGGATGTTCCTCCTTCCATACTGTTTCTGCCTCTGATCTCATATGACCTCTGCAAGCAAATGAGATCCTGATTCTTGAACTCAATCACTCAGATCTCTGTGCTAATCCCCATGTGGCTCCTATCATAACACCGCTCCTTCTGTGCTAACATATCAGTAAGTGACAAGTGATTGACCCGTCTCCCTCGATGGACTGCAGCTTCTAGCAGAGCAGTAGGGTTTCCTTGGCAGTCATGCAGTGCCTTCCAAGAGGCTAACTCTTCAGAAAGACTTGTGAATGATCACAGAAATGAACTATTGGATAGGATGGGTCAGGTGGATAAGTGAGTAGAGGGTTACACTTGGCCCTGCTGCTTCAACCTACCTGCTGCTGCTTTGTCCACAGGTCATAGATCTTCTCATGGGCCTCCTCACAGAGCCTCCTTGCCTCCTCACAGGATTCTTGTAGTAAAATCTGCTCCCCTGCAGCTTTCTGTTATCCTCTTTCAACATGCTCACTTTTTCCATCAGCCGAGTCCATTCACTCAGGAGCTGACTGTAGAGGGTGCAGAAATATCACCAAAAATGATGAGCTCCACCTCCATCTGCACTCCTGCCTCCCAATACCATCATTCCTGCAAGGTGTCATCTCCCCAACCCCAGATCCCAGGGATGAAGCCACATTAGCCATGCCAGCATGACTGAGGTGCAGACAAAAGCCAGAGAATAGCCAAATTCCAGAAAGATTTAAACTATTTCTGAATACCCTGACAGCAAAAGGGATCCATGTAACTCTGAAAACTAGATCCCCTACCTCTCCACCACACACCCTGGTGTTTAACTGTTCACAGTATTGAGAAAACATGAGCAGGAAGAGAGAAACCATGCTGGGGGGCGGGGCAGAAGACCCAATGGGAATGTATTTCATGTTTTCCATAGAAACCAGCTCTGTAAGCTCCTGCCAGAGCCACAGAAAACATTCATGGTGAAAACCATGTTTTCTGTCTAAAATTTCCAGAAGCTGACAGGAAAATGTTGGGAGGGGCTCTCAGACTTTTCACTCTTAGGAGAACTCAGTAAGAGGCACAAGTCCAAGAGCTATCAGACAGGCTGCTTGCTAAGAGGTAAACAGGCTAGAACCACAGCCCAGCTTTGTTCAAAGGTGAAGAAGGGAAGAAGCTGCTGTGGGAT